TCTTCCATAGCCTATTCTATCCACAGTATGACTGTGCTCGCTACCTGCTACCTACGCACCATCGCTATGGTGGTGTTGACTGCTTACGCACCCTCATGGTGTCGAATCTAGCTAGTAACCTGGGCTCATAACCTGTTGAACACATAATTAGAGTTTGACAACTTAATTAAGTAAACTACTATAATGCGGCTTCCTATCTAATAGGATGCATAGAGGTTTCTTATGTAAGGTTGACTTGACAGAGGAGGCAGGGGATTAAACACAAAGGCTTTCTAAGTAACACGTTATAGTATTGTAAAGAATACTATATCAAGTTGAGCACAAAGCTCCTATCTAAGGGAATACTATCTACTTATATATGTCATACTGACATTCGTTGCACTCAGTTTACTATCAAACTCAAGAGCAAACTTAGAAATCTCCTCCTCAAACCTACAAGTCATCATACATATCTTGGCTTATCACACCAACAACAAGAGAAATACTACTCAACAATTGCTGCAAACTCTTCTACTACATCTGTTTATGCTACATACATCACGGCATATCATTTGGACACTCATTGAACAAGTTATTAAAGAAAATCTCCTCCTTAAGGGGATGGGCCAATACTACCTGGCATATCTCTACCAACTAGAGGCCTAGGAACATGAACGATAGCTCTAGAAGCTTTTGCAACCCTCTATAATTTATTACATGTCATCGCTTCTGAGTTACCCACAAGATTGGTTAAGTTATGACATAATTTGTCTATAGGGGTACTCTGACCTTGAACCACCTTTCACTTCCTATAGGCTAGGAACCCAAGAGATGGTTCTATGGGATTCTCTTATGTTTGCTACATGATTAGCAAGCTAGTTGTGGGTCGCACTTGATTACTAATACAGTTACCAAGCCTGGTTAGTCATGGAAAGTATTGGAAAATGAGAGAACTACACTCCTTTAGCATAAATAGGATTGCCCTTTCCTTAAGAAAGGGCAAGCAGACAATACAGTAAATCGACTAGCACATACTTCCACGTCTTTTCCAAGCTTCCAAGCATTGATCTTGTTATTCTTTGTTTCTGAAAAGTCAGTGAGGTGCTAACCTCTGACTTACCCCTGAGTTCTCAGACTCAACATTTGTTACAACTTGTCTAAACCGCTTCACTACATCATACACCTGATTGCTGCGTTGTGGAATAGTCTAAGCTACAACCCTTTGGCTCTGTTTCCTAAGGCAGTGTGTTGTCTTAGTAAATTCATCCCTTCCTTGGGTGGCTAGATTCTCACATCTGGACCCACCATTACAATATAGTAGCGTCATGCCTTATGGATAGTTCAGATAGTTAGGGATAGTTGGATAGTTAGGATAGTTCTAGTTTTCTCAACTATCCAACTATCTACTAGTTTGCCAACTATCTACTAGTTTCCCAACTATCTACTAGTTTTCAGACTATCCACTAGCCAGGTCACACTACAGCCTAGCCCTACTAGCCTTGTGACTTATAAGTCACATTACTAGAGCCTAGCCCTACTAGTGTTAGTGAAAAGAGGACAGGCACCGTAGGATACAGTGGTATTTTGTCCCTAAAATGGCAGCTTTTTCTAGTCTTATCGTCAGGCTCTCTAATTAGTGCTAGTGCCTTAGAACTGTAGCTTATTAGGTCTTAGGCCTAAACCCTTCTGCTACTTAGGGGGTTAGGCAGGCCCTCCGAATAACATAAATAATACGTAGGCTCTGTAGATAGTGTAGTAATTCAATTAATGTATTTTATTCTATATACTATAGTCTAGTGTCAAGTTTTGCTGCCTGTTACACAAAAGCCCAAAGGCCTAGTCACCAAAGACACTACATGATTTGCACACAGTCGTAATATCTCGGTCCTTCCTACAACAACTAGCCCCGTAACCATGATGTCACATTACTGTAGCCATAACAACTATAGGTGCAAAGCCATATATATACCGCCTAGCAGTATATAGACTACACTATATAATGTACTTCTAGGAACGTAGTTCTAACAAGTTTGTTAGAACTGCATTCCTAGTAGTACGCTGCACATACATAGCCTATATACCAACTGTGTATATATAGGGGCTTCGCCCCCTGTAGTTTCTTAATTAAGTCTTAAACTCCAATTATGTGTTCAACAGGTTATGGGCCTGGTATAGCACACGACGCACTATGCCAAATACACATAATTGACAGCTTCCCTCATAGCTCTTGTAGGAGAGAGTAGCTATGTTGTATGATTAAGCTAAGATGTTGCTGTTATAGAAAGCCTCCTTATAGCCACTACTACACAGCAGAAACAGCACTAATTACAACTGGTAATTTACAAGACGAGTTCAGGGCACACTAAGCAAGCAACTACTTTAAACGTAAGAGCTAGGAATACTGTTAGGACTTTAGTTTGGATCAACTAGACCCTATAGGGGCATAGCTAGTACAAATTATCTAGGTTATAAGGGTGCGCAAGCAGTTAACAAAGTTGTAAATAATTAACCTGATAGACACCCCCAAGGCACAGGTGCCCTTCAATTTAATAGAGGCGCTATGTGCGGACAATCGGTATCACATCACATGACTTTTTAGAGGGATTTGACAGGATCAATTCGACTGACTATTCTACAGTTGAGATAAGCCCTAATATGTACTATATCCTTAGGTAATTACTTGGCAATCTCACTGTAGGTTTTAGGCTACGGCACCATCCCTATTTATCCCTAACACTCCCCTTGCCAAAGCCTAGAAGCCTACTAATTGTAAGGATGCCTGTCCCTCAGTGACGGAAAGGATCTGAGTCGGACAGGTTATGGTCACATGATAAGAGTTAAGGCAGGTTAGCCAAGTCGGACCCGTTTCGGGTACTTAAGGGGATTGACCCAACGGGGTCCCTCTCCCTCAGTGACGGAAGGTATCTGAGTCGGACAGGTTACGGTCACGTGGTGAGAGTGAAGGCAGGTTAGCCGAGTTGGACCCGTTTCGGGTACTTAAGGAGATTGACCCAACAGGGTTCCTCTCCTCATCTTTTTTGTATCCTTCATAGTAGACCTATAGGATAGCATCCGTTTAGCCTCCGACTCGCACTCTCATATGCTATACTGTGAGCTGGGTGCCCTGTGTCCTTACACTAATGTGTAGCTAAAGCTAAAGCTACAGCTATACCTGCCCTCTCTACTGTAGGAGTGGCATCATAGGACTAGCGCAGGATTGGCGTAGCTGGAGCCCTGAGCGGCCCCACCAAAATAGTTCTTAGATTACCTCAACTGTAGACTCTTAGAACTTCAATCAATCCACAACTTGTCTACCAATCAACACTTCCAAACCCCCAGTGACTATGTGTTACAGGTTATGAGCCCGGAAGCCTATTGTTAAGGTATTTACAAGATCAGAATTATCATTGAGTGTTGATTTGTGCAGTCCAATTCACCAATCCATCAACAGACTTGCTGAAGTCAGTGTTTTCATTACAGCACCACAACCTCAACCTCAAACAGTTTTGAAACGTGACAGATCAACTCGCAACTTCATCCTCAAACTGAATTTTGAACACGACTGCGACTACACCAATAGCCAATATGTCTTCTACAACTATGGTGAGTCTGAATACAACTTCACTGCATCTTTCAGAGCATTTGAAGCTCAAGGGTGAAGAGAATTACACCAACTGGAAGGAACTTATCAACATTTCCTGAGGCAATGGATTGGCGAAATACATCAACGATAGATGCAAGAGGCCAGAATACATCGATGAATTCTATGAGGACTATGATGAGGCCAAAGATGGAGACAAGCTCAGGAAGTATGAAGCTTGGGAGAAGGGCAATGCTCAGATGCAGCTCGCGATCCAATATAACTGCAAGACGATTCCAGGAAAAGTGGCATCTGCAAAGGGCACAGCGCTTGAGATGTGGAGAGCCCTACAACAGCAATACGAAGGCTCAGGTTCAGTCCTGAAGTACAATGCAATTCAGGATTATGTTCACCTCAAGTACGAGAATTTCTCTTCACTTGACACGTTTATTATCACTGTCCGTGAAGCTATCAACAAACTTGAGAGTCTACAATGCCCTCCTCATGATGATTGGCTTCCTGTTATGTTTATAGCTTCTTGTGCGAACAAGTGGCCAACTTGGGCAGAACGCCAAAGATCACTCCTTTGGTCTCCAGATCACTGCATCACTCTCAACTCTCTTATCGATGACCTCACAGATGAGGCGAGATCGAAATTGACTCCTACAGGCTCGAATGCCTTGTATGGAAACAAATCTCAAGGAACGGGTAAGGGGAAAAACCCGAGCAAGGACAAGAAGAATGGAGATCGACCATCTTGCCCACATTGCACAATGCCGAAACCTCGACACTCACCTCAAGACTGCCTCGAAAATAACAAGGAGAAGCGTGATGAGTGGGAGTGGATGAATGGGAAGAAATGGACCCCATATCGGAAGCATATTGAGAAGAAGAAAAATGAAACTAAAGATGAGGGTAAATATTCTAAGAGCTATTTTGACCTTGTGGTTTATATAGTGCCTGCAAAATCGAACACTATAAGCAGAGATAGGTGGTTATTCGATACAGGAGCAGATGAGCACATTGCAAACAGTCTTGAGAAGTTTGACACTTACGAAGAGCGCATGGATTTACCATTCATGAATACAGCAAATGGACTTGTTCGTCCTCTGATAACCCCCCTCTTCCTCCTAGCAGAGGCAGCAGCCCTGTCCCTAGACCTCCCTTATTCTTCAACTCTAGGTGTAGCTCAAAGCACTGGTCCTAGCACACTCTAGGTGCTTCCCTATTTCCTGCCTCTACTCTATTAGCACTCTCACTGCTCTTATAAACAGGTGCCTCCCCTATTCTCGCCACTTCGTCCACTAACAAGGCTGTAAGAGCGTCAAAAGTAGGAGGCACCTTAGCGTGAGTAATCACTGTAATAAAAGTGTCAAATCTCTTTGATAGCCCCTATAGAGATACTGTAATAAGGAGCTCGTCGCTAACTTCTGCCCCTGTCTCCCGTAGCTGTAGAGCTATTCCTCTTACTTTATTTAAGTAGTCGGGGGTATCCTTTAAGAACCCCTTCCCTGTGTCGAAGAGCCTCTTCCACATATTGTAGCAGGCTGCAAACCCAACCTTAGAGAATACCTCCCCTAGCTTTGCCCCCATATTAAAATAGGGTCTCGGAGGTCTCGTAAGTATGCTCAGCTTCTTTAGACAGGTAGAGGAAAATCGTTGCTGCTGCTCGCTCAGCATCCGTCGTAGTCGGCTTGCGCCTTCCTGCCGGACTCTGGCTGTACACGTCGCCCGCAAACGACGCTCTATAACCTCTCTCAGATAAGATATTCTACAATCGGGATAAGCCCTAATATGTACTGTATCCTCGGGTAATTTACTTAGCAATCTCACTGTAGGTTTCAGGCTGCGGCGGCACCATTCTTAAAGATAACGCGTAGTCACGTGCCAGGGCAATTTAGGCCGAACCTGAGATCCCCTATTACCCCACCAAAGATGTACCCCACTAAGTTAGAGTTCTCATGACATCAAGGAACCCCACCATAAGCAATCTGGAGGAATTCTAGTTCAACAAAAGCTTCGAAATAACAAAAAAAATCATACACCCATTGAATCTGGCATTGCAACAGTATTATTACCATGTCGTCTGACAGCGGCCTCTTGTACCTGGGTTTCGACCTATCCACACAGCAACTCAAGGCTGTCGTTATCACATCCGCCCTGAATGTGGCGCACGAAGCCAAGGTCGATTTTGACGCCGATCTCGCTCACCATGGCATCACGAAAGGGGTCTTCCATCCTTCGCCAAAAGAAGTAACCGCGCCGGTCGCGATGTGGCTCGAGGCTGTTGATCTCGTCCTCAGCCGGCTTCGAGAGGCCGGTGCCCCGCTGGGTCGGATAAGGGGGATTAGCGGAGCAGGGCAGCAGCATGGAAGTGTGTTCTGGAATAAAGCGGGAGAGGAGACGTTGAGCAAGTTGGATGCGAAGAAGACATTGGTGGAGCAGCTGAAGGGTGGCTTCGCGTGCGAGACGAGCCCGAATTGGCAGGATGCGAGCACACAGAATGAGTGCGATGCTTTCGATAAGGTACTCGGTTCGGAGGAGGAGTTGGCAAAGCTTACGGGTAGCAAAGCGCATCATGTAAGGTCCCATGATCCATCCGAGAGACAATTGGCTAATAGGTGTAGCGATTCACTGGCCCTCAGGTCATGAAATTCAAGAAGAACAACGCGGATGTATACGAGAAGACATCGAAGATCTCTCTCGTATCTTCGTTCCTGGCTTCCGTATTTCTTGGAAGCGTGGCCCCGATCGATATCAGCGATGTCTGCGGCATGAACCTCTGGAACATTGTCGAGGGAGCCTGGGAGTGGGACCTCCTTACTCTCGCAGCCGGCAGCAAGGAAGATGGCGAGATACTAAGACGGAAGCTGGGCGATGTCCGATCAGACGGCTGTGGGAGCATGGGAGCTATCTCTGACTACTACGTGCAACGATACGGCTTTAGCAAGGAGTGCCAGATCGCGCCATTCACAGGTGATAACCCAAGCACGATTCTCAGTCTGCCTCTGAGAGCAGGTGACGCCATGGTGAGTCTCGGTACGAGCACAACATTCCTCATGTCAACACCTCACTTCGTCGCCGACCCAGCCGTCCATTTCTTCAACCACCCCACAACAAGCGGCCTGTACATGTTTATGCTCTGTTACAAGAACGGCGGTCTCGCCCGCGAAAAGACGCGTGATTCGCTCGCTAAATCCAGCGACGGCAACACCTGGAGCACCTTTGAGAAGACCGTCCTTGAAACCCCACCGCTCGGCAAGAACACGCCCCTCGACCCCGCAAAACTGGGCCTGTACTTTCCACTCCCCGAGATCGTGCCAAACGTGCGCGCGGGAACATGGCGCTTCTCGCTCGCCAACGGCGCGCTTACCGAGTCCGATGAGGGCTGGAAGATCCCTGAAAACGATGCGCGCGCGATCGTCGAGTCGCAGGCTCTCTCACTGCGTCTACGGTCGAAGAATCTTGTCGTCAGCCCTGCAGCAGGGCTGCCGGCACAGCCTAAGCGAATCTACCTCGTTGGCGGGGGCTCGCTGAGCCCGGCTATCGCTAGGGTGATGGGGGATGTCCTGGGCGGCTTGGAGGGTGTCTATAAACTCAATGTTGGCGGCAATGCTTGTGCGCTCGGTGGGGCGTATAAGGCTGTTTGGGCGGTGGAGAGGAAGGAGAATGAGACGTTTGAGGAGCTGATTGGAGCGAGGTGGAATGAGAGCGAGGCGGTGGAGAAAGTCGATATTGGATATAAACCACAGGTGTGGCAGGCATGTGGCGATGTACTGCCAGCCTTTGAGGAGGTGGAGAAGAAGGTCCTGGCACGTGAAGAGAGGGCTGCGTGAGAATAATGTCTTGCATGTCATCAAATATTGAGCAACTAGCCTCTGCATAGTTTGTCTATTTCCCTTTAGCCTTTTAAAATAGACTAAATGGCAAAGATGAGGGAAAAAGCAATCCACGGGCCGTATGGCGTCCGCTCATCCCCATGTTTCGGCCTTTAAAGAAGCTTTACTGAATTAACAAAGGAAATCCAACTCCGGAACCAGATAATTGTGCTCAAACACCGCCATGGGTAAACTAAAGCCTCTTTATGTAGACAAACGAACTTATCCTCGTCCAATGTTACACATATCCATTCCATCCCACTCCCATTATCCAACAAATGCCTATAAAACCACGCCTCCGCACCTCCCAGATCAAACTCCAGAAACCCAAGCCAGTTCGACAGTTTTTAGTTCAACAATCACATTCACATCCTGGAGACCACACCACAAGCACCGCACGGGACCAACGCCACAAACACTGCACGATACCCAGAAAATCAGCAACGCCACCACAACACCGGCTCAATTGAGTCGTTTCAGACCGCGCATAGCCCGCCCAGTTCTCCTCGACCTAGTATTCCGGACCCCGAGCTCACTACCAGCGTCAGTCGAGCCAAACCGCGCTCAGAGGGTCTGACCGCCGACGTTCCATTAGACGCAACAGGACGAGATCCCAGCGTCGGTCGAGCCAAAACAAGCTCATAGAACCTGACCGCCCCAGTTCCATTAGGTGTAGCAGGCCTGGTGTATCCCCACGTCTTATTAGAAAGGATGGGCTTGTCATATTTGAGCACAACCCAACTGACTCTGGCCCTAGCACTCCAACCCTTTCCAGTCCCCGTCCCCGTCCGCGCACGCCGTCACTGTCTGGCTCAGACTTCTCCGATACGAGCACGGTTTACTACTACCGCAAGCCGTATAACTACGCGCCACGTAGGACCTATATCTCATCAGAGCTATTAATTTTGATGTGTATGCCCGCCTACATGATATTATCCCTGGCCCTGTGGTTCCCGGAACCAGCAACTGTTATTCAGATTTCGTTGGCGGCAACGGCAATACTTCTTTGGACAAGCTACGAATTCTATATAGGGCGCCCGTATTACTGAGGCAGCTAGGTGTTGCGAGCGGTTTTTGATACGTCTAGATGATGCTATCAAGTGGTTAATTGAGGCGGAAGAGAAGGAGGATGAGGAAGTGCAGGTGAGTCTCCCCCTTCCCCTTTCTTTTTGATTTGCCTTCACTGCGAGAGGCACATGGGGCCCCTTTGTTGAAGAGGTAAAATGGATTTATTACGTTCATGGTTATAAAGAGCCAGTAGATTTAGTCAGTCGTTACAGATCCCGATATATGGTTATAGTTTTAGAGTCGTTAGTAGATTTCTTTCTGTTAGTCGTTACAGAACTCGATAAATGAATTTTTTTTTCACAGGATATTTCTGAGATAACTGGTGAAGTGAGTGATTACTATCATATGTGCACACTTGAAATACCGACATGTTTTACAATGAATCCGCACCTCCCCCTCCATTCAATCATGCGCCTCGCTCTTCTTAACCTTCACATTCACAGCCACCAACCCCTCCTTAAACTCCGGCAAATCATCCGCCGTCTTCGCCAACCTAACCCACGTCACCATCCCCTCCCCATCCACCGCAAAACTCCCTGCCATCTGCCACCTATCACCACTGCTACCCCCCACCAGTTGCCCCTCCTGTGCCACCATCCACACCCCCTTATACACAGTCCACGGATTCAGCAAGTGCCAGGTACTAGACCTGCCTACGCCCCATAGCGCGTATAGCTCACGCTCTGTGTCGACAATGACCTGCACGTCCCAGGCACCGCCGACGTGAACAACCCACTCGTCTGTCGCCTCCTGGGTACAGTGGGATACGGCGACGAAGTTCGCTTCTGGGTGGCGGTTGGCAAGGTAGCGGAAGTGGCGGAAGGATTTCTCGGCGACTGGAGGGAGGTGTTAGCTCGGGTTCGCGGCGTGAGAGGGGGGAAAATGTTACAGGGACAGCCGCAGTGGCGTAGGAAGGTTACGATAGTAGGTCTGGCGTTTGGGTTTGGAATAGGGAGTTGTGCTGAGGAAGGGGCTTTTGAGCCGACGGCTGGGACGGTCAGGGCGGCTTGTGGTGGTGGTTGGGTATCAGCCGTTTCCGTTGCCGGCGCTGGTTCTTGTTTCGAAGTCATGGTTGGGACATGAATGCTGTATTGTTAACGGTATAGAAAGATGAAGTTGCCCTGAGCTGGAAGTTTAATGTCGATGACGGATGCGGGGTAGTCGAGGGGAGGGGATCGTTGATATCATGAGGCTTATCGGGCGGCGATAAAGCTGTCTGGCTGAGCCAACCACAACCCCACCACGGTTCGGGTATTTTGAGCTTAAATTAATCACCGAATAAGAGCAGCCATACAATACAATCACGAGCTGGTCACGAGCGAAGAACATCTTTGCTACCGTCAACAAGAATTATACGTCGCATCTTAGGTTGCGAAAGTCTGTAGTTACCGGAGCAGAGCGCCGACGAATCTTGCGGGCTTGAGAATGCACGAGATCCTCACGCTCCAGCTTGGTCAGCGGAGTAATTACCTGGCAACGCACTTTTGGAATACTCAAGTAGATATCCACCCCCATACCCTATGAACTAGTACTAATACTGTCACAGGAATCCTATTTCACGTACTCCGGAGAAGAAGAACCTGTGGTGGACCATGATGTCCATTTCCGTCCTGGCATCGGTGCGGATGGCGCGGAGACCTTTACCCCAAGGACGGTAATATATGACTTGAAAGGCGGGTTTGGCACGATGAGGAAGCTCAATGCACTTTACGAGCTGGATGAAGATAGAGCTGCGTCAGCGGGAGCATGGTAGGTTGTGATCGAAGCTGTCACAGCATTATGCTGTCATGTCAAGGCTAACCATGCCTAGGAATGGCGCACCTATAATGAGGCCACAGCCAACAATAGAGCCAAGCGCATACCAACTGAGCCTAGAAAACGGGACCACGCCTCCCCAACTAACAAAAGAGTCAATCCGCTACTGGTCAGACTTCAACCGCGTCTACTTCCATCCCAAATCCATCGTCCAACTCAACGAGTACGAGCTCGGCTCCACCCTCATGCCATTCGAGAACTGGAGCGTAGGCGAGGACCTCTTCAACTCTCTAGACAAGGAGCATGATTTACTGGACCGCGATCTGCGCTCCTTCGCCGAAGAGGCTGATCACATGCAAGGCATCCAGATCATGGCCAGCGTCGACGACGCCTGGGGCGGCTTCGCAGCGCGCTACATGGAGCGCCTGCGCGACGAATACGGCAAGACAGCGCTATGGGTTTTCGGACTCGAAGGCAACGCGAAGGAGGGCCCAAGGGTACGTACATTAACCCCCTCTGTCCCGCAAATACTCTACTAACAACCCCCCCAGAGTACCCAATTCCTCAAACTCTCCAACACAGCCCGCTCCATCGCCGAAGTATCCTCCCAAGCCTCCCTCTACATCCCCCTCACCATCCCCTCCTCCCTCCCGTCCTACACAACATGCGACCCCTCCTCCCCCTGGCACGCCTCCGCCCTCCTCTCCACAGCCCTCGAAACAATAACGCTCCCCTCGCGCCTACACGCTCGTGCCGGCACGCGCGCGTCACTCGCTGATACGGGGGCGGCGCTGAATGTGAATGGGACGCAGAATATCGCGAGGTTGCAGATGTCTATTGGTGAGGATCCGGTGGCAAATGGGGAGAGTCATGGTGCGGCGAGGGAGACGGGGGATAGTAGGCTCGCGACGCATGCGGGTAGGTTGAGTGAGGAGGATGAGGGAGGGGGGGTGGCGGAGTTGGATATGGATTTTTCCCCCGTTGATGCGCCGGCGATGAATGGGCGTGGGAGGCGCGTGGATAGGAGGTTACATACGTTTGGACGTGTGGAATCTAGTCGGAGCGATCAGGAGACTGGTGAGGATGTTGAGTGGGATGACCTCGATGGGCGTGACCGCGCGAGACGACGTGCTGCTGGGCTGCCGATAATGCATAAGTTCGTCTCACCCTTCCTTTATTCCTCTTTCCCAGGTATGAATGATCGAACTAACAGTCCTCAGAACCTCAACCCCCCTCGCCTACCCCCTCCCCACAAGCTTCCCACACATCTACAACCGCACCTCCGCCGCCCTCAGCGTACGCACCTCGCTCTCAACAGATACCCGCGTCGCAGCTCGCATCAAGAGTCTCCAAACCACTGTCGGACGAGCAATTGGTGTCGAAGAACGAGAAGCGCTCTCTAACGCCTTGGGAGAGATGGCGGAGGGGTATGAGGAAGGGTGGAGTAGTGGGAGTGATGAGGATGAGGACTAGAGTTGTGGGTGAGGAGATTGGGAAAGGGGAGTGAGGGAGGGATTTGGGGGTGTTTACAATGAATGAAGAGTTCCAGATCTGTCTTTGCATGGCCAACACAATGCCATCTATGTTTCTTCTGCATGAACCCCTCTCATTGCCCTACATGAACGAGAGGAACAGAGTTATCGATACTGACTCCCGCGTCGGACAGAGTAACACGGCGTCGAGATGCGAGGACAGTTCATTCCTGCAATTCCCCGCAGTTCGTACGTAGAGCACAGCATCACCAAATACCCTAGCTATCATCGACACAAAAGCCCAGCCCCCTCATTCTCTCCACCATCCAACCTCCCCTCACCACCACTTTGCCCTCACGCGCCTTCTGGTATCCCGTCGCCGAGAAGAACAACTGCAGCAGCATCCTATTCGGCGACTCAACTATCAACTACCCGGCTCGCCGATAAAACACTCACCGAAACTCCCAAAGGCCAGGGGTTCTCTCTTCCCTGGCAGGTCTCTGACGGCACATCGCCGTTTGGTGACAACCTGTCCTTCAACTACCCGATGCGCGATCTCTTGAAGAAAGAACTGGTCGCGTTCACCAAGCTCACGTCGCCCCGTCTGGCCGACATAGTGCTCCCAGTGAACACCAAGTCAGCTCTGAGTACCAGCAGCAAGACCACGACAATTGATGACTTGATGACACAATACTTCGAGTCTGTCGATATTACCCGAACATTGTGGCGAATGTCGTTTTGAGTAGTATTGCTCTTGTTGTTGGTGTGATAAGCCAAAATATGTATGGTGACTTGTAGGTTTGAGGAGGAGATTTCCAAGTTTGCTCTTGAGTTTGATAGCAAACTGAGTGCAACGAATGTCAGTATGACATGATACCCCTCTTAAGGACGTTTGTTAGCTGTGTGCTTGCCCTTTAGCCAGGTGACTTTCTTAGAAAGAAATTCTAGAATCAGCTTGGATGCATTTTTTAGATTTCTCTTAGGTTCCCAAGTGTTGTCACTTGTAGGATAGCCTTTCCACATAACGAGGAAGTAGTCCTGACCTCTAAGTGTCTTTTTGTCAAGGATAGACTCTACTTCATATTCTGGTTGATCCAAAATCAGAACAGGAGGTGGAGGAGACTGAAGTGGTCTTAAGGAACTTTCTTGTGCCTTGGACAAGAGAGATGCATGGAAGACATTATGGATAGTCCAAGTAGGTGGCAATGCAAGCTCGAAAGCATTCTTGCCAATAGTCCTTATGATCTTAAAAGGTCCAAGTCTTTTAGTATCAAGTTTGTCTGAAGGTCTAGTAGTTGTGATATGTCTTCTAGACAAAAAGTCTTGATCACCAACTTTGAATTGTGGTGCAACCACCCCCCTGTTAAAAGCCTGAGCCTGCTCGTCTTGTGCATGCTGTATTTGGACCTTGAGATAGTCCGGAGGCCCTTAAGGTAGATGATTCTTTCAGTAGCAGAAGGGTTTTTGAGATTTTCAGGACAATTAAGTTGTGCCACTTCAAACCTAGGGTGATAACCATAGTTTGCATAGAAAGGTGTCTCTTTTGTGGTGTTAGAGACCGTGTTGTTGTAAGCAAATTCTGCAAGATGGAGAAGATCTGCCCAGTTGTCTTGAGCATAGTTTGTCTAAATTCTTAGATATTGTTCAAGTACAGAGTTGACTCTTTCTGTCTGGCCATCTGTTTGAGGGTGATAAGCTGTAGAAAAGCGTTGTTCCATGTTTAAGAGTTTAGAGAACTCCTTAAAAAAGTTTGAAGTGAAAACTGCTCCCCTATCTGAGATCCAGTGTCCAGGAATTCCATGATATTTAAAGATCACCTTGAGGAATAGCCACGCAAGTTCAGAAGCTGTGATAGTCTCATTGCAAGGCTCAAAGTGTGCCATTTTTGTGAGCCTTTCTACTACCACAAGGATAGAGTCATAAGGGGTAGCACCCCCTTTTGGGATAGAAGGAGGCAACTTGACTATAAAGTCAATGGATATGGAGTCCCATGGGCGTTCTGGTATAGGTAGAGGCTGCAAGAGGCCATAGGGCTTTTGCCGTGTAGGTTTGTTCAAGTTGCAAGTAGTGCAAGAAGATATATAGTCTTGAAGAGTAGTCCTTAGACTAGGCCAGTAGAACTTTCTTGTTAGAAGTTCATAAGTTTTTGCAAAGCCAAAGTGCCCTGCAGCTGGAGCATCATGGAACTGCTGTAGGAGGTGTAGCGTAATCGTTTATCCCTTGGGACATAGATATAGCTCTTGAATAAGAGAAGTCCTTGCTGATTTTTTGAGAAATTTTGTAGTCCAACTTTCTCAAGAGAGGAACCTTTCTTCTGAAGGTATTCCAAAGTTCTTTTGGCAAAGGGATCGTGGTTGTAAGCATCTTTGAATGCTTTAAGAAGTGTTGCTGAGGGTGTATAGTCTTTAAAGGTCTCTGGTTTCTGAGAAGAGGTAATGGGGGCAACTTGGTCTTGAGGGGATAAGTTTCCCTCTAAGTCCTCTGTAGTATGAGGGTTGCTTAAAGATGCTGCTATAAGCTTTGTAGAGTCTAGCAGGGCCTTTGTATTGCTTGTTTTAGCAGAATCTTGGTAGTCATGTCTTCTTGAGAGGAGATCTGCTCTTTGATTCTTGGCCCCTGAGACATGTTTTATAACAAAGTCAAAACCTCCTAGTTGTTCAGACCACCTTGCTTGTCGTCGATTGAGCTGTTTAGTGGTTGTAAAGGTCAAGAGATTTGAATGGTCACTGTAAATAGTGATAGGATAGTTTGCCCCTTCAAGGTAGCATCTCCAATGCTTTAGAGAACATACTATGGCAAGCAGTTCCTTGTCTGTAATGGGATAGTTTTGTTCGGCTGCTGATAGCTTTCTTGAGTAAAATGCCACAGGCTGTAGCTCTTCCTGTTTGTCCTTTGGAGCTTGGTATAAGATTCCAGAAATAGCAAAATCTGAGGCATCTGTCTCGAGAGTGGCTATGTAATTGGCTTCGTAGTAATAAAGTAGAAATCTTAGAGCTTATTCTATTATATTTTGTAAGCTAGCTTGTAATGGTGGGTGCACCAGATGTGAGAATCTAGCCACCCAAGGAAGGGATGAATTTACTAAGACAACACACTGTCTTAGGAAACAGAGCCAAAGGGTTGTAGCTTAGACTATTCCACAACGCAGCAATCAGGTGTGTGATGTAGTGAAGTGGTTCAGACAAGTTGCAACAAATGTTGAGTCTGAGAACTCAGGGGTAAGTCAGAGGTTAACACCTCACTGACTTTTCAGAAACAAGGAGTAACAAGATCAATGCTTGGAAGCTTGAAAAAGACGTGGAAGTATGTGATAGTCAATTTACTGTATTGTCTGCTTGCCCTTTCTTAAGGAAAGGGCAATCCTATTTATGCTAAAGGAATGTAGTTCTCTCATTTTCCAAGACTTTCCATGACTTACCAGGCTTGGTAACTGTAGTCGACGTAAGAGAATCCCATAGAACCATCTCTTAGGTTCGTAGCCTATAGGAAGTAAAAGGAGGTCCAAGGTCAGAGTACCCCTATAGACAAATTATGTCATAGACAAATTATGTCATAACTTAACCAATCTTGTGGGTAACTAAAGAGAGATGACGTGTAATGAATCATAGAGGTTCGTAGGAGCTTTTAGAGCTATCGTTCATGCTCCTAGGCCTCTAGTTGGTAGAGATATGTCATGTGATAGTATGAGTGATGTCATGTAATGAATCATAGAGGGTTGTAGAGATATGCTATGTGGTAATATCGGCCCAGTAACTAAGGAGCAATGACGTGTAATGAATCATAGATGGTTGTAGCAATCGTTGAGTAGTATTGCTCTTGTTGTTGGTGTGATAAGCCAAAATATGTATAGTGACTTGTAGGTTTGAGGAGGAGATTTCCAAGTTTTCTCTTGAGTTTGATAGCAAACTGAGTGCAACGAATGTCAGTATGACACTGGGCCCTATTGTCCTCCTTTGGCCTTGTAAGTGAAGGTAGGGTGTAATCACACCTGTCGTGGCTTGGGGGTAGCCCCTCTACATCTTCTAGCTCCGAATCAATTAAGTCAAAGGTTGATGTATTAGCCTGACTTGGGTAACGAACTTGGCGGCGTTGCCCTTGGCGGTAGGACTGTGATTGCTGTACCCTTTGTAATGGACGGCCTCGTCGCGATTGAATAAAATCAAACCGGTCCTGGTTCCGCTTTGTCCTATCATAGGTATTTGGGCTTCGGTCTGGAATATACTGTAGTGTCATCTTCTCTTGGATATTGTCAATTAGAGCATGATACTCAAACAATATTTCCTCATCATTCATATAAGTTGAATCAATGATATCTGTAACAGAGTAGTGTTCAAATAGCTGTTCCCATTCAATCTTCTGGCAGTAGAAGACAAGCATAATTCCCCGTATTGTATCAGGGGTCATTTGATTGCTCTTATAATTACAGACAGTGCGGGCAGTACTAAAGTCTCGCTCAACAAGAGCTTCTGAAGGAGGAATACAAAGTATATCCCGGGCCATAGCAGCAAGTCCAGGGAATAGTCTTTCGTTCTCTTTCCACCATTTTAATGGTGGCTGATGGGAGGGTGCTAATAAAAGTTAGTAGTGATTACTATAATTATTACTATAAACTTACGGAGGGCAAGGTATCGCTCAATCTCTCCTCCTTGATCTTCATTTTGACTAATGGAATTATAGCTCCACTTCCGATTTAACATTAGAGCCATTGGGTCCTTGTCTAGTTCCATGTAGTTTGACTGGTGCTGCTTCGATCTTTCTTGGTTTGCGTAATGTTGTGTGTATAACGCCCGGAATTCCTTCTCAAAATGCCCCTGCGAGTTTTTATTAGGATTCAACCAACAATAATCAGGGTTAAACACTTCCATCTTTAACCGTGGAGATAGAATAGCACCAAAAGCATAGAAGTTACCAATACCTGTACAAGATAAGCTATAATACTTATCAAGCTTTTGTACAGCTTTATCAATAGCTTTTAAGAGCTTTGGAATCCATGGATCTTGTAATGGTTTAAGCCGGCGGCTACACTCCTCAAGCCCTTCAAATAGCTCATCATATGCTGGGAGAACAAAGCCTAGCCGTGCACCACTTGCTATACCTATATTTGAAGTCCAGAAGCTAAACTGGCGAGTAACATCAATAAGGTAGGTGATATGTTTCCACTCTTCCAAAGTAATATGGAAGATAATAGCTGGAGTAAACTCAGTTGTAAACTTATTTACTGCTTCCTGGAGTAGGACCGCTCGTAGCATCATATGTAGTGTTGAATCCCACCGGGTTGACACATCTTGGATAAGTCGTAGGACTTTTGCTCCATCTTTAATGCATTGTCTTTGAATTCCCATAAATCGCTCTCTTCGCTGTGAGCTAGAATTCACAAAGACAGCTAGCTTCCGAAGCTAGTATAGTATTAGTTGTGATTACTATAATGATTACTATAAACATACCTTGGAAGTGTCCATGGAAGGCCCTTTTCCTCACTTAGATCTTTGAGTTCGTCTACTGAATTGTCATCCCAGTCAATCTGTAGCTCTGAGTTTGATGGGTTTAATCGAATTGACCCAAGGAGAGCCTTCTGTGCAAGCTGAACAATATGTGCAAAGCATGGGATATGATGAATACGTCCATCATGGTATCTTGTTGGCTCAGACGATAACTCAGCTATCACGTTGATAATTGCCATCATTGAAGTATTGTTACTTGCATTATCAGTTGTAATGCAATGAACTCTACCATCTAGGTGATATTAAGATATAACACGCTGAACAATAGTCGCAGGTCTTTCCCAGTATGGGCTCCATCGAGATACTCAAATCCAATTAGAGCTTCATGGTATTCCCATTTCTCAGTGATGAATGTAGCCATAATACCCATGAAGGAGTGTCTTGTTCCAGGGCTAGACCAATTGTCAAGGGATAATGCACACCTCGACCCAGGAGCAAGACCATGAAGGGCAATCTGTTGTGCATTACCTACCATAACATCAAGGCGCAGCCGTAGGGTTGTTGGTGAAGGAAGTGGATATTTCTGGTTCTGCCAAAGTGCCATCTCCCTCCATATAGGATTCTCAACTGATCGGAATGATATGTTTAGGGATACCACAGTCTCAAGAACAAAACTGTAGAAAGCTTCCCTTGGATCATCTTCTGGTTGGTGCATAGTCTAAATAATAGTTAGGCATATTTTATAGTAATAAGTATAGTAATCATGCTTACTGATAATGATCCTGAAAGGCGGAGCTTGGATTAATGTAGTGTAGAAGTGTGAGATGATTTCCTCAAACATCCAGCTGATCGAAGATGGGAACTCATTGTGCTTGTCCCTGCACCCATTACACTTGGGTGATTGAGTATTCTAGAGCATTTCCAGCAAATAACAATTGGCTCTCCAGTTGATTTCCGAGCACCTTGGTCGAAGTCTCTCCATACATTTGAAGTCCTAGCTGTTGACCCCCAATTTATTTGCTTATCAGTACTTAGAAAGAGATTTGGTTGCTCTTTATACCAGGACTGATGATGCCACCAGTCATTGAATAGTTCTGCTTTTGAAGGCATCCACTTTAGCACATTAAGACCTCGGATTGTAATTAGACCATCGCATTGGTCGCTTAGAGGCTGAGAGGACTCAACCTCAGGTGTTATGTTGCTTGATTGAGGATCATCGAGAGAAAATACATCACTATAGATATGTGTATGTATTGGTGAACTTAAACATTGGCTATAAGACATAATATTTGAATATATCACGATTAACGTACATGTATAGCGAAAGCGCCAAACAAGCGAAAGCGCCAAAATTATCTACCCTCACGACAAACATTGCGATAAATCTACCACAACATTAGAAATCAATTGAAACTACTCGGAGTCCTCTTCCTCAGAGGTGTCTATTACAATCTGACACGTGCGCGCATTGTGCCCAGTCTCACCACACTTGCCACAGCGACGGGCACGGGTTTCTTCCCTTGGCTTCCGACCACGGCTTGCCCTTATTTCCTGCTCTACCTGCTGCACAACATCCCTCTCATCCTGTAGCTCTTGTGCCCCTTGTTGACTAAGTGATCCTCCTTGCTGTAGTCGTGTTTTCCTAGCTCTCCGGCGCTTGCTTAGTACTTCATTTGCCTGTCGTAGGTTTTGGTTCTCTCCCTTTAGCAGTGCTAATTGATGCATTATTTGCGATGCACCCTTTGTAAACTGGTCAACAGCTGCATAGATTGAGGTTGGAGAGCTATTTTGATGGCGTGAAATCCGAGTTTTAATAAATGTAGACTGTGACATAGCTTCAATTGGGTTGTTTGGTGTCTGAGAAACCCAAGGTTGAGCAGTACCTGGGCGGGAGCTTGGAGGCGTTGGTGTCCTTAACTTAAGATCAAGTGTAGATATCACTCTCTCAGGGTCAAATGGAAGAAGCCCTGCCCCTCGGAACCCGCCTCGAATGTTACTTTCCGTCATTGTAGTGTTAAATGCAGCGTGGAAGGCAGGAAAGAAGTCATCCTTTGTAATATGAGAAATATGAGCCTGCATCATATCTTCAATTTGCCGACCATAGGCCTGCTTTAACGGGCCGAAACAGCCAACATCAAGTGGCTGGAGTAGATGAGAAGAGTGAGCAGGCATACAAAGCATAATAATGTTGTGTTCCTTGCAGTACTCCTCAAACTCATCTGAGTGGTGGCTCTCATGACCATCAAGGACTAACAAGCGATAACCACCAACACTCTGGGCCTTTGTATGCTTCTCAAAGTGCTGAATCCAATCCATGCCTCTCTCGTTTGTAGTCCAGCCATTTTCAGTAACAGAAATTACCCAATCGCTTGAAAATCCACTATTCTCATACCAAGATGTAAGGTGGTTTTTGCCTGCAACAATGATAAATGGTGGTACTGCCCAACCTTGAGAACTAACGCCTTGGATTACTGTAACCCATTCCCGATTACCAGGCTGTACCTTCTTTGCTTTTGCCCGCCCGTCTGAGCTTGTTACAACCATAGCAGTTGAGATAACGCCCATCATAAACCCAGTCTCATCAAAGTTGTAGATATCTGCTTCATCGATACCATATTTCGCAATTGTGTTACGCACAAGCTCAAACCAGCCATTAATAACTTCTGGATCTTCGCACTTAGCCCTCTGGTAGTCGTATTTGCGCTGAAAGCGTGTCTGGAGCTCTACACGCCGCTTAACAAAGTTTGAAGCCCAACGCGACCCAACGCGTGACGCGTCGCGTGTTGCAAGTAGTCGACTTGCCATATCTTCAACAACAGACAGCCGAGGAGGAAACCCTTTGGCAGCTAGGTCGAGTATATACTGAACAAGGACGGACTCCTCTAGGTTAGTTAATTTCCGTGAGTTGGCTTGGATATCGCGTCGTGAAGGTACACCTTCTAGACGACGACCTAGCTTGCGGTGGTCCACAGAATAGATCCTAGCAGCAACTCGAAGGCGTAACTTTGGGTCGCTTTGCATAGCCTGGATAGCTAGCACTAATTGGCTTTCATCGTTTTTATGGGGCATGTTTTGTTGTTGAGGAATTTAACATTTAGTTGGGGGGTTTGGTCACCGCATCATTTTGGCGCTTTCGCTTGTTTGGCGCTTTCGCTATACATGTACGTTATATTATTTCAAAGAAAATAAAACAACTGAATATTTCCTAGGAAATATATCTATCCTATACGTACCTCTCTATTTCACTTGAATTTACTTAGTTATAATATCTTAAATTACTTATGGAGTATATTTTAATAGCAAGTTTCAGTAATATGGGTCTTTGAGAACAAGAGCCAATTATGGTAATATTTATAGTAAGCTATAGAACCATAGCGTTAGAAGTAGTGGATTGAGCTACCTGGACTATTCTAAAAGTATGACTAGATCTACATATTGTAGAATTTGGCAAGAAACTCGTCTGATTCCTTAGTAGGAGGTAACATAGCCAACTTCTTGTCAGATGGCAAGACCCATTTGAAATCCACCAGCTCATCCTTCTCCCTCAGCATCTCCCAAGCCTTAAATGCACCAGTAGCATCTTCATCCAATTGAAATCCATGCTGAGTAGTGTCGTACCCATCAGGGTACCAATCAGCAGGTCCGGGAAGAGAAACCTGCCCATCCTCAAAGTTCCATGACGCGAAGTTCCTCCAGACAGCTAATTGAAGCTTCGTGAAATATAGGTGAGGAGGGATCTTCTCGTAGTAGATTCTGTACGTATGTGTTAGCTGATTACTATAGTGATTACTATAGTGACTCTTACCCAGTCTCCTCATCAATTGCTGGGGGAAGGTTCTTGAGGAAGTCGGGATCCGTATTGACTTTGTTCATGAGCTTCAGAGTTTACTTGTATGCCGTCGACCATTTGCGGCGCCAAATGGTGAAGGCAAGCTGCTCCACTCTCTGGGTCTAATTAGTATTAGTCCCCTAATAGTAGGGCTGATCATACCTTAGTTGAGGCTTCAGTCTGGGCCTCCACTTCCAGTTGGACCTTCTCAATCTCTTTAATCCCAATACCATTGGCCAACTCGTCAGCTCTCCACATAGCTTCCTGGGCAACTTCATCGTCCTCATCTTCGGTTTCCCAGGCATGGTTGTTGTCATCCCACACTGCGTACGCTCCTCCACCTTCTCCAATCCCAAGGTGTTGTTGAACGATAGAAGCATGGTTGCCATCCTGAATGCTATTTCCTGGTTACTATAATGATTACTATAACGTAGGAGAAGGGAGCTTACCGTCGGAGTCGCACCTCGTCCTTCTTAGACTGAACCTTCTCTTGTTGTTCAACTGGGCTAAGGGCTTTGAAAGCTCGTGTCTCCCAGATTTTCTTGATAGCGTATGCAGTAGCCGCTGTATCAGCCCTCTTTGCATTGTCGACCATGAGTTCTTGTTCCGTCATGTTGTTGCGGCGGTTCTGTACACGCTTGGTGTTCTCGTTGGTCGACTTCTCGGTTGATTCTTTGCGCTTTCCGACCATGGTGGGTGATGGGTGATTACTATAATGGTTACTATAAAGTAATTGATGGTAGGAGGGAGTAAAGATTTACCTTGGTGGTGGAGGGTGGGTGGGTGGACAGAAGAAGGCGACTGTGGTGGTAGAAGCTCGGAAATCCAGAAGAAGGAAGCTCGGGGTGGTAGCAGAAGTAGGAAGCTCGGGGTGGTGGCAGAAGTAGGAAGTTTGGGGTGGTGGCAGAAGCTTAGGATTCCTATTGTTGTTGTGTAATTGTTATGGTAGAATTCACTTAATACGCCTATTACGATATAATGGGTGAAGCTCAAGATATTTCGCCAAGCGAGCCAGCAGTTCACCCAGAACACAACACCCACCCAAATTTGGGTTTTCCTCCCTCAACCTTTCTGTTATTATGTGACAAGCCACTCACGGGTGGACTGGTAAGTGAACCACTCCTCTTATATTATAGTAATACTTAGAGTAACACCTCGTCAGGGCAATATGGATGACGAGCCCTATGACGACTAGGGGTCCTAGGGGTCCTAAGTTCATGGGTCGCCGTCGCCTTCCAACTACACCAACGCGCTCTAGCCAGCGTCAACCACAACTTCAATCACCTCCTCCAACCCAGCCTAAGGCTCCCCGAGGCCCAATCCCAACTCTTGCACCAGGCCAAGTACTGAGCCAGAAAGAACCCAAGATATCCAGCATGGCTCGCCAGAAACAAGTTCGCCAGAATACGGCCAGCAAAGCCCCAAGGAAGGCACCAGTGGGTGGGAAGACTGTGATGAAGGCGAAAAAGCATCGTTCCAAGCCAGGCAGTAGGTTGATTACTATACTTATTACTATAAAGCTCTTACTGACATCAACTAGTTGTTGCACTTCGTCAAATTAAGCGATACCAGAAAACAACAGAGCTACTCATTCCCCATGCGCCATTCGTCTGCCTCATCAAAGAGATCATGGTTGACCTGAAATCGCCCTATCAAATCCAAGCGACTGCAGTTTCTGCACTACAAGAAGCAGCTGAGACCACTTTGGTCAAGGAGTTTGAGAGTAAGTGAACATCCATTTTATAGTAATCATTATAGTAATCATTACAGTGACTCAACTTGCTGTGATCCACGCAAAGCATGTTACCATTCAGCAGAAGGACATGAAACTGGTGCAATCAATGAGGCTCCATATGACGGGGTTCCGGTTCCCAGGGCAGCTACTTGAGTAAGGAAGGGAGGAACCAATACTGGGGGAAGTAGATACCAAATATATTCCTTTACTACACTAAATATATCTGTCTGTGAAGTTATCGTAGATTTGAATATACGCACGTGACAGATTGCACGTGTTGGTTTGCCAAGGAACCATTGGGGGACCGCACCGGTCTGGTCGGTTTTTCCAATATTTCCAGACCAGACCGCGGTCCGGTCTGGAAATGTTCCGAACCGACGGTCCCCCGTGGCGCACACTATCTCTACTGCCTAGACAGAAGCTATTAGGAAATGGATTCTAGAGCAATATCACCTAGGGCCTAGAGCTATAAGAGCTATGATATTTACTGCTGTCTATAAGCTCTAGAGCCTTCTACCACCACCCTTAGTAAGCTATGTCATACTGACATTCATTGCACTCAGTTTGCTATCAAACTCAAGAGCAAACTTGGAAATCTCCTCCTCAAACCTACAAGTCACTATACATATTTTGGCTTATCACACCAACAACAAGAGCAATACTACTCAACGATTGCTACAACCATCTATGATTCATTACACGTCATTGCTCCTTAGTTACTGGGCCGATATTACCACATAGCATATCTCTACAACCCTCTATGATTCATTACATGACATCACTCATACTATCACATGACATATCTCTACCAACTAGAGGCCTAGGAGCATGAACGATAGCTCTAAAAGCTCCTACGAACCTCTATGATTCATTACACGTCATCTCTCTTTAGTTACCCACAAGATTGGTTAAGTTATGACATAATTTGTCTATGACATAATTTGTCTATAGGGGTACTCTGACCTTGGACCTCCTTTTACTTCCTATAGGCTACGAACCTAAGAGATGGTTCTATGGGATTCTCTTACGTCGACTACAGTTACCAAGCCTGGTAAGTCATGGAAAGTCTTGGAAAATGAGAGAACTACATTCCTTTAGCATAAATAGGATTGCCCTTTCCTTAAGAAAGGGCAAGCAGACAATACAGTAAATTGACTATCACATACTTCCACGTCTTTTTCAAGCTTCCAAGCATTGATCTTGTTACTCCTTGTTTCTGAAAAGTCAGTGAGGTGTTAACCTCTGACTTACCCCTGAGTTCTCAGACTCAACATTTGTTGCAACTTGTCTGAACCACTTCACTACATCACACACCTGATTGCTGCGTTGTGGAATAGTCTAAGCTACAACCCTTTGGCTCTGTTTCCTAAGACAGTGTGTTGTCTTAGTAAATTCATCCCTTCCTTGGGTGGCTAGATTCTCACATCTGGTGCACCCACCATTACACCCAGTCACCTTATAGGGAAATGGTCGAAACAATTGAGTTAAGCCAAGTCCGTAACAAGTCCCAGTCTGGTCGGGAAATCTGGGAGTCATGGCGTAATATAGATCTATAGTAATAATTATAGTAATTGCATCTACTACAAATTACACATGGAAAATAAGTCATTATATAGAATATTTACACGTCATTGTCAACTAACCCAGTCATCAGGTGATGACAGTCTTGGCAGACCGACGGGGAACCGCAGTTTATGAGCTTCAGACTGGACCGTGGTCCGGTCCGGTTTAGGTCCCCCGACGGGGTCGGTCCCCCGTGGCGCACACTAAGTAGAGAGCACCTTATTCTTACCCCCTTAGGGTAGTGTAACGCTGACTTCTAAACGATAGAAGACACAGAGGTTCTCTTGCGTAAAGGTTTACTTATCAGAGGAGGCAGGGGATCAGACACAAAGGCTTCAAGTAACACGTTACTAGTATATAACAAATACTGTATTGAGTTGAGCATGAAGCTCCTATCTAAGGAAATACTATCTACTTATATAGTGGCGTCGTGCCTAGTGGACTCTTGGGAACTCACTCGAGTCCTCGGAGTCCTGGACTCTTAGGACTCTTCTCATCATCCTGCGAGTCCATCACATGCCTAGTGGACTCCTGGGAACTCACTCGAGTCCTCGGAGTCCTGGACTCTTAGGACTCTTCTCATCATCCTGCGAGTCCGTCACGTGATACTTTCGGAACTACTATTCCCCGCTGCCCCTCCAGGTACCAGGGCCGGTCTCATGCGACCTCCCTCCTTCCTGTCCTGTAGTTGGCCAGCCTTCTTGTTCCGTCGTAACACTCGCTCCCTTCCCCTGGGCATTCGTCTCGAATCCTATAAGTACGTCCATGTCGGGACTCTGCTGCTCCTCAGCGAGTCCTTCAACATGCAACATGCCTACTGACACTGCCCGCAAACTCCAGGAACGCAACGATCTTGTCCGTCGAATAAAGAACCACGGATACGAACTACCCGAAATGGATTCTTGCTCGAACTGCGTGAGGCGAAACATTACTTGCGTGTCGTCTCCAAATGATTCACGGCGGTGCGCCGAGTGCGTTCGTCGCAACTTGAAAGAAAAGTGTGACTGTATGGGTCCTGAGCATCCCGACTGGGTGAAGCTCGAACGGGAGGAGGATCGCCTGGATCGCGAAGAGGAAGAAACCCTTTCGAAGTTACTTCGTCTGCGGAAGCAGAAACGCCTCATCCGAACCCGTGGTAAAGATATGCTCCGGCGAGGTTTGAAAACCCTCGACGAGCTTGATGCGGCAGAGGAGGCCGAACGTGTGGCTGCTGAGAAGCGTGACGCTGTTGAGGCTGAGGAGCAGGCAGTTAGCGCTGCCTCCTCATCTGTGACCGGGACCCTCGCTTCCTCCGATCCACTGGCCTACTCCCCTGCATCTTGGGATCAATGGCTGGCGGATGGCGGCGTCGATATTCCTCCAGCAGTTCTTTGCTGATGTTCCTTGTTGGTTCCCACGAATTATCCGTAGGTTCGTAATTTTCCCATTTTATCAAAAACTCTTCTCGACGTCCTACTAACCTTCTGTCTAGGATCGTTTCGACCTCATATTCGATTATCTCATTCTCGGGTTGGAGTTCAGTGTCGGTCGCAATTGGGGTATTTCCTCTTGCTGGTTCCAGTAGTGAGACATGAAATACCGGGTGTAGTCTAGACTTCCTGGGTAGCTGCAGTCTGTAATTAACTGAGCTGACTTTGTTCAATATTTTGAATGGTCCCAATTTCTTGAAGTCCAACTTTGTGCTTGGTCGTTTCGTTTTGATATGTTTCCGGAGTAGGTATACTTTATCCCCCTCCTTGAAGGCAGGTTCCATACTGCGCTTCTTGTTTGCGTATGCGGCGGATCGTTCATTTAAGAATTGGATGTCCGTCGCAAGTTGTTCGTGGAACGATTTCAGTTGTTCCACCACGATCAGGGCTTGTTCAGCTCGTGATTCATCCGGTCTTGGTTGCCTATATGCTTCTGGCTGGTAGCCATAATTGGCAAAGAACGGTGAGACTTTCGTTGCTTCTGTCATCGCGCTGTTATATGCAAACTGTGCGATGGGTAAGATCTGAACCCAGTTATCCTGTTGATGATTGACATAGCTTCGCAGGTACTGTTCAAGGGTCTGATTTAATCTTTCTGTTTGGCCGTCTGTCTGGGGATGAAAAGCTGTTGATAGCTTATGATTTGTTCCCAGTAGCGCCATCAATGATTTCCAGAATTTCGAAGTAAAGAGCTTGTCTCTATCTGAGATGATTTCTTCTGGCATCCCATGATCGGCTAATATGACTCGAATGAAGGTATATGCGAGCGCCTCGGCATCGCTAGCTTCTAGATATGGTATAAACTTCCCATATTTCGTGAGTCTTTCCGTGATGACGAGGATAGAGTCGTATTCTATTCCTGTTAACGGGTCCTTGGAGGGTGGAAGCTTGACGATGAAGTCCAAAGCTATTGATTTCCACGCTCCTTTTGGTACTGGTGTCGACTTGAGTTGTCCGTATGGCAGATGCCTATTGGATTTTGACTTGCTGCAAATGTCGCACTCTCTTACCACTGTCTCTACCTGCTTCCTCATACCTGGGAAGTAGTAGTGTCGAGTGATTCGTTCGAAGGTTCGTGTTACTCCCTGATGACCGTGTGCTGGTAACGAGTGTTGTTCTTGCACCAGCGGGCGTCTCATTTGACTTGGGACATACACTAACCCTTTGTATCGAATCAATCCTTGTTCGTCGATGGTGAAGTCGCCTTCGACTTTGGACAAGACTCGCTTGGCGCATTCGTCTGTTGCGTAAGCTTTCTTGAGTCTTTCCTCGAGTTCTGTATCTTCGATGACTGAGATCGTCGCTAGTAACTCGTTGTACTGTATTCCTGCATCTGTTTTCTTCAGAATTGCTCTAGGTCTTTCTTCCTTTGGGCCGGCGTAGTCGGTCCGTCTGCTGAGAGCATCTGCTCTTGCATTCTCGGAGCCCTTGCGATAGGTTATCGTGAAGTTGTAGGCTGCGAGGGTTTCTGCCCAGCGGACTTGTCTGCGGTTTAAAACCTTGGTCGTGGTGAAGTATATGAGGTTCTTGTGATCCGTCCATACCTGCACAGGGTAGGTGGGTCCCTCAAGATATACTCGCCACTGCTCAAAGGCAACGACAATAGCCAGTAGCTCCTTGTCGTGGATGTCGTAATTGAGTTCCGCGGGTGACAGTTTCCTAGAGTAGTACGCGATTGGTTTGAACTTACCGTTCTCGTCTGGTTGATTCAGACATGCTCCAATTGCAAAGTCAGAAGAGTCCGTTTCGAGGATGATCTTCTTTGCAGGGTCAAATGTAGCAAGGATAGGTGCTTCCGTGAACTTCGTCTTAAGTTCCTGGAAAGCAGCCTCTGCCTTGTCTGTCCATTTGAATTCGAGATCCTTTCTGGTAAGCTCCGTGAGTGGTTGAGCTACCTTGGAATATCCCGAGATGAATCTTCGGTAGAAGTTGGCGAAGCCTAGGAAGGCTTGCACTTCCTTGACCGTGGTCGGTGTTGGCCATTCCAACACTGCCGTTACTTTTGCTTGGTCCATCTTGATGCCGTGCGTTCCAATAATGTAACCCAAGAATTCGACTTGGTTTTTATGGAACTCGCACTTCTCTGGTTTGAGGAGTAAGCTGTACTCCTTTAGTTTCTTCAGGA